ACTGAACTAATAACCGGAGTATTCAACTAGGCCCTTTTGTAAAAATCTATTAATGGCGCATAATTGACTGTTAGACTGCCAGATTTCATTGGAAATATTTAAAACTATCTTTCACCCGCGACTCCGTACGCGTGAAATTAAAGAAAACAAAAGTGGTTAGCCTATGTGTTCATCCAGATCATCTACATCTATATTTATAAATTGGTATAATAGTATGAAGTATGATTGAATTATTGCAATGTGAAGACAAAAAGTTAAGTAGTTATTTCATATTTTATGCGCGTGAGACGCTTGATGCATAATAAATTGCAGTTTCATTTCCTACATTTAGTTCTTTCTGTACGTATTTAAATGTTACATTATTTTGTCGCAGACAGTCAAAGTAGGCGGATGTTTATCTCGGTTTCGTCGAGCATATAAATAATGCGATCGTGCAGTACTTACTGTTTACAGTCGGGGTCAACTTCTGCCAACTTTTCTAATACATTAATCTCTAACTTTGCAGCCTCTCTGTACTTCTCGACGTTTTTTATTATTTTAAGAGCCATTCTGTGCTCCCTGAAAAAGTTAGACAAAACATGATTTATAAAAAAAATACAAAAAAAAGTAATAACGTCAGACTTATATGACAATATTGCTATCCTTCTTACATTCACTGTAAGGAGCAGGGACAACAATACATTTTTGACCGACTTCCCAAAAGAAGGAGGTATTCAATTCGACGATATGTTTTTTTTTTATTTTTTTTTAATACGTTTGGATCTCACAGTAGTAGAATTCAATTTTACGAATATCTAGCATAAATTAAAAATAAAGCGGGTCTAAATCTGACATTCAATAGCAGAAAAATAATTTCAAAACTTATATAAAGAACGGTATTTAGTAGCAATTGCTAGTGAAGGTATACTGGGTAATGTAAACAAATGAAAATAGAGCTTGAACAATAAGCGCGCGCCGAGCAGCGCCGCTCCGCCCGCCGCCGCCGCCGCCCGCCTTGCCAAAACAATGTGTGTCGCAGACAGCTAGTGCGAACTCATTCTATCACAACGGGGAAATACTTGTAATTTCCTTATTCTCATAATATTAGACATACTTGAGCCGGTGAGAAAGGGGCCACTATCGTGTTTAGTTCTATCAGAAAACATGTATAAAAATGACATAAAGGATCTAGTTACACATTCTCTTTCATTGGTAAGGAAGTCGCTGGTTGGTGAGCTATCATAACTTAGTTTGAATTATGATCACTGGGTCAATTAAATTTGTCGGTTTATACAGTAACTAACCAATGTCTGTATGTTTACTTAATCTAAAAACGTTAGAATAAATAAATTGAAAATTATATCTTACATTTCTAAGTCCTTGACTTCGACCACCTTTCCGAACGTGCCCTCACCGAGAGTGTCGATGATCTTATCTGAAAGTAACCGAGTACATAATGAATCAACTGCACACATCAGCGTTGCGACGGAGCCGGGATACATCTCCATCACAACATTTTTATTAGCACGTAATCCTACGAAAAAAGAAACTCTAGAAATTTATAAAAGCAGTTGGGGTGCAAAATTATGAAACAAATTATTTTCATTCAGCGTCAATTTTTAAGTAATCGTTATAATTTCATGATGTTTTATAAGTAAAGAAAAAAATACAAAAATTAAAAGCATAAAGTTAATGCGAGGAAATCTTCGTAGAACACGAATGTCTGCAACGGGGCTTCAATGTACTGAGAAAGTTACACATTTAATAAACTGTCAATTGTTAGTGTACGGTGTAAATTTTGTTTGTGTGTTCGGTTAGAACGATGCATAATTTAATGCAGTCTCTTTGTGGGAATGTGCTGTGTACGTGTTGTGTGTGACATGTATAGTGTAGCTATGGGGTGGGGTGGGGTATGGTAAAGTTATGTTGTGGACACGAACATCTCGCTCCCATGACATATCCGGGCCAGTACACCAGGTGTCCGTCCTTGTCGTCCTTGACGGAGGAGCGCGCCCGGGAGCTCTGCAGGGCGGGCAGTGCGGCCAGGTAGGGGCAGCCGTAGTCGCCGCGCCGCGCCCGCGCCCGCGCCCCGCACACACGCCACACGCGCCACACGCCACATGCCACGGAGAGCGCCACGCGATCGCCACGGACCCGAGTCGTGTTGTACCCAACAATCAGAATGGAACGGTTGCCCGTCAGACAAGCGACAATTGGAATGTGTGTCGTACATGCTGTTAGAGGGCGAACGGGTGGGCGCTGCGGGTCGCGCCAGTCTGCGGTTCAACTCATCACCGATCACAACACCACACCATCACTCGCTCTCGCCACTCTCGCAAGCGCAGCCACACGCACCGACGGCATTCGATCAGTGTCCACCCGAGCCCTTACTGAATAAATTGCAACGAATACTAACGCCCGAAACGCTCGAACCGATCGAGCTTCTCCGCTTACGACCGGCGCTCGTTAATATTTTTATGCAATAAAGAAACATTTTGTCCGTAACAACACGCACAAATAAGCTAAACACATGCACTATCATTTTACAGTGATTGGTATGGCCTCATTTCTGCAAACGTCAAAAACACACTGTTAGTAGTAAGTACGATTGTAAATAATGTTTTTTTTAAAATACCGCTCTAATTTAGTTTTGTAAAGAACCACTCATATATGTAAATGAAACTACCTTCGCTTTTATAAATGTTCGGAAAACACATGCATTCAATATAATGCTTACTATGTTCGTATTTACTATTTTTATTTTATTATTTAAGCTTCCTACAGTGTACATATAGTTCACTTGTATATTAAATCGTTAAAGAGTCATTTATTGGAAAGCATAAATTACTAAGCACGGTCCGGGTGTACAATATGTTAAGAGGGGCAGGCGCAGGCGGTTAGGAGTGCTTACAGGCGGCGTGGCGGCGCGCCGCAGCAGGTGCCTGGGCCGCTGGGGGCGGCGGCGCGCGCGCATCTCGGGCGGCAACGCCACCACATCACCCACCCCCAGCGGCTCCGGCCTGAGTGCCGGGCTCGCTACAGCACCTGCACCGTTGGGCTCCTTTTCCGTAATACGTCCGTAAACTTCATCTAAATGCGCGTACTTCATAATCAGGCTTTGTATCTCTTTTCGTCTAGTTTCACGTTCGGTGAGGACTCGGTCGCCCACAGGTGTTTTGTCGTCGTCTTCGTCGCTGGATGGGAAGTAGATCTGCTTCTGCCTGCCAGCCTCCCTGGCGGGCGAGGACGCCGGGGTCCTGGTAGCTTGCGACTTGACATCGCTACCGTGCTGCAGGGGCGACACAAGATCGCGCGCCGCCGATTGTATGTTGATATCAACGGGACGCAATGATAACTTTCCACCTCTTTTCTCATCACTTTTTTCCGCTCGAAGCGATCTCCTTTGATGTCGACGGTAAACGCTATCTCTGTCCTTCCCGAGACGATCTTTGATTGAGACATCGAATCCATTTTTAAAGTCGTTCCTATCTCCATGTTTATGTCCAGACGATAATCGTCGGTCGGCCGTATTTCTGAAGGGGGTTTTATCTCTTGTCTTCTCGCGCGAATAAATATTTCGTTTGAAAGAATTTTCACCGAACACAGCAGTGGTGAGGCTTCTCATCAGGCCCCGGGGCACTATCGGTTCAGGTTCCAGAGTTTTATCGCGATCTTCCTTTTCTTTCCGAGCTCTTTCTTTTTTCTGTATCGCAATTTTATCCAGCACGGAGGAATACTTGTCTTCCAATCGACTGCGCGTACTGCCCAGCATAAGCGTAGGATCTATGTTATTGTTGTTAGCTTCCTTGAGTGGGTAACGTTTGGTGAACGGCGACGATTGATTGTCTTTCAAATGTGCTCTGCGGAATGAGTCACTGCGAGTTAGCGCGCTAATACCGGAGCTCGTATGTAAAGGTGATGTATCGATCCGGGACTTAGTGGTCGCAAGATAGCTCGGATACGCACGTTCGTCGTTCAACTTCCGCATAGAGCCGGATAATCCGGACGTGAGAGACGTGTAAGGAGAGATATGGCTATTGTTGTCATACCGTCGGACGTTTGTGAGGGCCGAGTTTTTATTAGCTAGAAGCTTGTCATCATAACGGGTTCGCGCGGCGTGCAGCTTAGTATCGATGACGGCGTCGTTTTTCTCCGAAGGTCCGCGCCGCGTCAGCCGATTGATGATGCTGGAGTAGCCGTCCGACAGCAGTTGAGTGACGCTCGAGGTGGAAGAGCGCCCGTAGCGCTGACGCCGCGGGCTGGTCGTGCCGGCGCCGCCCGCGCCTGCGCCGGCCATCTCTTTTCGCACTCACTAGTCGCAACACCGAATCACTTCAACCGGGATATACACATCACATAACACTGTTTCACCATTGTAATTCAACAAGTAAAGGCCATCACATGTTTTAATGTGTCAGGTATTTCATGGAGTGGTACAGGAGGCGTACGGTTTGCCGGCGGATATTATACTGGGCGTACTCTGGACCGGGAGCGTACCACCGCACGGACGGGATTTCAGAAAGATCAGTAGCGCAAGCGAGTGCGGCCGTCGGTGCCAAGTAATGGTCGCGGACTAAAAATATCGGCAACCCGTGGGAGCGCCCTCCCGCGCACTCCGAGGTGCCGCCGCGTGCGCATTTCGTCGCATTATCCGCTGCCGCTGCTCCGCCGATTTAATACGAGCCTTCAAATACACGTTAAGATACTTGTATACATTGAATGGACTTCTTAAATGTTTGTCTTCGGTTCGATTACGACTTGAAAAACCTTGACGCTTACTAAATCTTCTAAATTCCACGACAATCAAAAGTAGCAAATTTCAGTATATATATTTTTTTTAATGATAGACGTATATGTATTGGTATTATAGACACCGGCGCGGCGATGCGTGCGATTTCTTTCTCCGAACGTCGAGCCCGAGCGCCAAGACAATTCTGTCAATACGCGCTCAGTAAATGGGTTAGTGGGTGAATAATGCGTAGCGTGCGCGCACTGACATCTCCACGCGTACTTGTTATTAATCATCACAATGTGGCTATCGCATGTGAAGTCTCGGGTCAATCTTAATCTTGATAGATCCAGCATAATCAAAAACAGTTGTACTCTTATCTCTTCATAGCATGGTCGAGCACAGAGTTAAAGTAACTAATAGTTTTAAATCATGACTACTCTTCATGTTTTCTTATCGTTATAATGTAAACAAATTTTATTTGTTCATCGTCTCCTTATCTCCGTCGGATATTTCATAGTTTAATTGATCGATCTCGACGTTCAAACTTTAGCGGTGCAATTCGTGTTCAGCTTAACAATGGACACAATGTTGTCAGCCGACGCAACGTACGGCGCTGCGTAACGGAAACGCTATTGAAATATCAAACATTCCCCACGTTGGATTCGTAAGTCAATTTCGTTGCAACCACTATGTTAATACTTTTCCTCTATCAATATTTTACGCAGACCTGGCATCTCACATACTGAGTATCTATTCTAAAGTACTAGCGTCACTATTGAATGCATGTATTTTACACAAAATGTCAAAACAAGATCAAAGCATGCTCATCACATATGTTACCTCTGAGGAGTCGAAATCATCTGTCAATGTTAGTATAAAAAAATCCACAACTTTTTTAACCACTTTGAGTAAATTAAAAGATTTCATGATTTAATCACGGCACATGAGACTATAGGTAAAAGTTAATCTGAGATTAACACTGCACAAACTGCGGTTGTATTTATTTCATAGCAGTTTGTACGACGGTCGGTGGTGTACTATCAGCTGTTGAGATGCGTCAAGGATCGCTAAACATGGCCGGGGTGCAGGTAAAGCTCGCCGGCCTGCCATTGGTCCGTGGACCCCGTCGATAATACCGTTAGGGTACAGGCCTTTCAACCTTTTTCTTTTGTTAAAAAGGAACATACATGTTCCTTATACCAACGCAATTAAAGCATATTCGAAATTCTAATAAAACGTTAAGATTTGTGTAGCGATTAAAGAATTTGTGAAATACACGGTAACATATTTTCTTATAACATTCTCACATAGGGAACTATGTGAATTACTGACCTTGCCCGCGATACGAGTAAATGCACCGTCAACATCGAAAAGTACATCGGCGACGATGTTGAGGAGTTTGGCGACATCATGCCACTTGCAGCCGTGGTCTTTGAGAAATCGCTTGTAAAGTTCATAAAAGGACGAGAAGCGTAGTGGATCGCGAACACGGTCGGGCTTTAGCGCCAGCTCGGCCATAGCGCTTGCAGCGGCGCGCACACGTGTCGGTAGCGGAGACGGCTGAGCGGCTGCACGCCGGAGACGCGACTGGTCTGGCGTAAACGGCCGCGTGCACACACTAGCCGATGTTTTGGTTTTGTACACAGATTATATTTCACAATATTACTTTATATGGGAGAAATTAAAGATTGTGCAGTACGTTTGTTTTCGGTCGCTACCAAACTTCGACTGAGAGAACTTCCTTTTGCGGCAAACCAATTAAAAGACGGCGAAGTGAACGACGGTCACAATTTAATGGAAGCATCGGTTCTAACAGGATTTATCCGCGTGATTCCTGTCCGACACGTGCTCTTCCTAAACAAGTATCATAATACAAGTATTAAAATAAATAACATAGTTATTTAATATCCTAGTAGCGTACCCAATTGGGACTCAGTATTTATAAAGGTATAAGTTTTAATTTTTCAGTATGCTACAAACAATGAAAAATGTGATGACTACAAGTAACCAACGCCATAGTTACGTCATGTATATAATAGTAACATAGTTCGGAAACGAACATTATTCATATTTTATCAGTCTCTGTAAAGTTTTATCTCATTAGCAGACAGGGGCGGGGATATGCGGTCAACAGCCAATGAATTGTACAAGCGTTTGTTTCGGTTCGAATTTGAACCCGGAACCGAATGTTGGACAAGTAAGTCACCTGATTGCTGAGACACGCGGTCGTCACGCTGTAGGATTTCCATAAATAGTGTTAACTAAAATCACTAGTTGTTTTTACTATTTTTTTTTAAAGAAAACAACACAAGTGAGTATAATGAGTAACAAGTAAGTAAACCATAAAAATTTGACAGCAATCGAACCGGACTGATAGCGTGCGCGTGTTCATTCAAGGAGAGAATAGTAAGATAATAAAATTTATAATTATTTAATAACAGCAACAGAGAATAAATAACATAAGATAACAAGGGACAGTAGATAAGGCCGCGTTCACATTAATTGTAGCGATAGAGCTAAACAAATGGTTAAAATCATTGCATCGACTCGCGGGCATTGACACTGTGACGCGTGACATTTTGTGTGTGCTTAACATACTCTGTTGTGCACGTGATAGGAGAAATAACTTTATGGAAATACATACATTGATAATAGCATATTTCAGTGTTCAGTTTAACAGTTATTGTTTCCATAACTAGAGTATCAATACAAACGTTTCTAGTTAGGTAAAACATAAGTACCAAAACAATTATGAGGGGTTATCTTTTAAACTAATGACTCTCAGTTTGAAATTTCATAAAGTTACTTAATTACTTTCCATCATCTAAACAGTTTACTGTATCATAAGTCTGACTCCTTAACCTTCAAATAACATTGTAAGTTTTTGGCTAAGCGATTGATTTACAAAGTAACACTTAGCACTAGTAGGGTTTCTTTACTTTGTCTAGTAGACGTTTCGTCGCTACAACATATCGATGCGCTTGACACATTAGTGAGAGGGCAAGGTCTCCGGAAGGGGCGAGCATTAACAGACAGGTAAGCTATGGACTAGAGGCTATAAGACTTCGTTCTCCGCATTAATCAGTCCATATCTCGACGTCCGAGCCGACGGTGGATTAACGATACGGTTTTCCATTATCGCATGAACTTGACCTCTGCATATATTGTTATTTTTATTATGCACTTACGACTGTGAGAACAACTAATCCATGTTAAAATTATAAAACTCCTAGCTACAACCTGAGTGAAAAAAAAAAACTGATTTAGTAGCCTACTTCAGACGGTACTTGTTTGAATGTTCATTCAGAATCATTCCAATGCAATATTACTTGCAGCAATGTTCTGGGCTTTGACATTCAAGTTGTTAAACAGAGAAGAATTTGAAAAGACTTACAGTTGCTCTCCATGTCTCTAATAATCGGTCAATATCAACTATCAATAAAATTAAAACGGTTTTACCGCACATGCGATATCGAGCAGATCTCTGAGTAATATTAGTTGTAAAAACCTAGCATTTCCGTAACAATTCACACGTTCAATATTAATATGGAAAAATCTGTGTAAACGTCAGCTACAAGTAAATGTTTATTAGATATTTTAAATTAAAAGCATACATGAATCATAACCTCGTAATGTCACATTCTTCGCAGGCGCCATGACCATACTAGGGATATATTATTGAATCAGTGTTGCTATGACTACTTTTATAATGGTCTATATAACGAACATTAGTGCCGGTGGCTCAGGGGTTTGAGCACTTGTAATCCACAGGTCGTGGGTTCGAATCCCGAGTTCGAATGTGATTTTCGATTTTTTAAATTTCATATGTCTATAATACCTGACGTTCTTACGGTGAATGAAAATATCAAGTTACAACCTGCACTTATCGGCGAAGAAATTCGAAGATATGTGTGAAGTCAACCCGCAGTGAGCCAGCGTGGTTGACTATGGCCCAGTCACCCTAACTTAGGCTAGGCTCCTAGCCAATTTCTATGGAGACGTATAGTGAGCTAGTGATGATGAACAAACATAGTATAGAACACTTCATAAAGTTTCTCGTCGTTGTGCATCAGCCCTACGTTCGTCGTCATCGTACCCGACAAGAACCAGTTGGAGCAGGATTCAATTTAGGAATTTCGTATCAGTCAGACAATTCGAGGCAATTGCTCGCGGCCGCCATCTAATGAGTCTCGATTAGGCAAATGTGTTAGCGTGCCTACAGCGCACTGTTGTGATACTGCCGCTATTACATTGTTGTGGACGCGCCGACTGATGATGCTATGTTTTCCTCATACGATAACGGTGTCTATTTGCATGGCGTAACACGTGAGTGTTGCTTATTAGTGTCCGCAACCAGCCAGTGTAGCACGCTCACTAATAAAACCGAAACCAACATGGCATTGATAATGACGTTGGTGGTATAATTGCTTAACATATACGTAAGTAGATTTTCTCAAAATTAATAATAACACAAGTATACTTGATTCGGTATGAATATTTCAGAACTGAGTAATTTTTCCGTTATTTGGTGGAAACTCACTCGACATGCCTAGGTGAAGGTGATCCCGGCTATTTCTGTGGCTTGTTCATGTTTTGCGCGGCGCGTGGCGCCATCTAGCGGCCGCCATTCGAATTTCATAGATCTCGCCAGCTGCTGCTGCTATTTCCGTCAGTTATACATCCCAAATTGTTTATCGACTTCATGCATGTGTATATATGCCTGATACACACGCGATAATGAAATACGGAATCGTGTTAATGGGTTGTTTAAATGAAAACAATTAGTTGACATTGTGGATACACAAACAATATCAATATTAGTTTTATATGTTTGAGAGATAGCAGTAGTCAATTATGATATCGCATGCAGGTTATGACAATAAATAAAACATGACAAAAATCAACTGTTAATACAATATCGTATTAGCAAACAAACCCGAGGCTCGTAGTTAAGTAGATTTTTTTAAAATCGCGAATCAAAGCATACGTTTTGAATGAATCCCTGACCTAAAATAATGTTAAAATAGATGCGCAACGGTCTCAATGTGCCGTTGGCAGCGCATTGCGCAGTCGCTGGTTTTATTAAGTTCGCATATATAATTTGATTAATTATTCCAATGTAATTTCCATTCTTTAAACTGAGAAAAAGTCAATCGAATTATTGCCTAAACCAATTGAAAAAATGGCTGACCTCGACTTCTTTTTGTTGTTTGTCAGGTTTGAGCTGTATATTGTGAGGGGGTGGGGGCGGCACAAACGAGCAGGACGGCTGAGGGTCCGCGGCGGCCGTTTCTCCTGCCTTCGCGGCCGCTTGCTGGCCTGCCCGGGGGCCCCTATCCGCAGCTTTCGCCTGGCCCTCCGCGTTCTGAATGCAGATTTGAGGCACATTTTTCTGTACATTAACACGTTGGATGGGAGGCGCTGCCGTCAGCCACGCCGCCGGCACACAGGGAGGCACGGGATGCTTTAGTGATACATGGGACGCGCCAGCGTTTACGTTATTAACACCAATAAAACCTGCTGGGGTGGAGGTACTTGGTGCGGTAGGTGGTTTATCGTTGTATACAATGGGCTCAGCGACGACCGATTGTTTTTGCGTCTGCGCCTTTTCCGAATTATCATCCAAGCACTTTACATTTGACAAATTATTAGGTACCGGAGGTATTTTCGATGACGCACAATGGTCCTGAATGGGAATGGATGGTAATTGACTGAGGGGCACTTTGACTAAAGTTTTCTCTGAAGCGTGAACGTGAGGGCCACTAAGTAGGTTTTCTTCATTTTTGGCAACAACGGAAGTGGTGTTATTTTGTGCTTCAGGTATGGGAGATACATCGTCTCTGCTTTGAGAAAAGTCAGTACTGTCACCACAACTGGAGAGTTCACCGAGACTTTGCGCCAGGTCGAGAGCTGATGCCTCCTGATAGTCGGTGGAGCAAGGGGAGGTGTCGTCGCTCGTGTCATCTCTGGCGTTAGCCACTTGGGAGCTTTTACTACTCGGTACGAATGCTAAACTAGATGTGATGTCATTAGATATGTCAGCGTTGAGGGAATCTTCACTACGAGAGGATTCTCTATTCGCATTAGTGTCGATGTTACTACATTTGTTGTCTTCATTTGCTGGCACAGCAACAACGGTATCGGCAGGTGCTGTTCCTTTTGATTCTATATTAACTCTATCACATACTTGTAGCTCACTTATGTTATTTTCGTTGACATTTTTAAGACTATCTGTATCCCCCTGCGTACTCATATGTTCTTGTTGTTTAGCTTCGTGTTTCAGACATTCAACTGGTGGTTCAGCCGGCAAGTTCATGTATTGTGGTAAAGCAAATTCTAAATCATTAAACCTCATGTATTGAATTCCGTCATCTGTGGGAACCTCCAATTGTGGTGAATAATAATTGTAATTTGAATTATCATGTCCGTATACAGACCATGGATCGTTAGTAGGTATAATAGGCAATGTTTCGTAGTACAATTCAGAATTTAGTTCGGTATTATTTAAATATTCGGGCTTATAATCCCACGTTGGAACAAATGAATCTTCAAATGCTAAATAATTATCGGGTAGCACCACCATCGATTGGTTAAGTAACGACGGATCTAATGCAAAAGAACCGTCGTAGAAAGGGTTGTTTAACACCAGCGGCGGCGGTTGCATCTGGCCGCAGTCTAAGGCAACCTCCGCTTCCACAAACAGTCCAATTTTTGACAGGTCGGGTTCGGATCGACCGAGTCGACAGGCACTTTCGACATTTTCATCACATTTACTATCATAAACATAAGATATGTCAAAACTGTGAGTCCGTCGTAACAATGGTGAAAGGTGTGGATCGGCACAAGAATTATTCCAGAATGTATGATTGTCCGCTTGGCTGTCAAACAAGTCCTCACACGGTACACCCACGTTGTTCATCTGTTGCAAAGCATCGGGAAGAGCACAGGAGAGTGCAGTGTCGCTGGGGTGCGTGTCAGCCGGTAGCAGATGCAC